CACTGACGTACGTAGACAAATTGATAGATGACGTGCACCGGCTGTTTCGGGACAAGTACCGCACAGAGATCCAACAGCAAAGTGCTTTAAGTTTACTGAATGGCACTTTTGATTTCCGAAATGACTTCCTGCGTCTCCTTCGGTGAGAGGCCTGCCTTCTCTAAATCAGTTTATTTCCATGAAGGTGGCTCAAGGGTGGTAAATGGGTGTGTTAAAAGACATTCCTAATTTGCTACCCAGTTCTTCTTGGGTGTGAAAGTCCTTTCTCTGGACTGTTATTTTTCCTCCTGCACGAGGCAGAAAAGCAAACCATTCTGTTTTGTTGTTTAGTGAAGCAGAGGAGAGCAGTAAGATCCGTGCTCCCACTACCATGAAGAAATTTGAAGATTCTGAAAAGGCCAAGAAACCTGCAAGGTCCATGATTGAGACACGGGGGGAAAAGCCCAAGGAAAAAGCAAAGAATAGCAAAAAAAAGGGGGCCAAGAAGGAAGGTGAGTTTGAGTTCTTTGGACGTACTGGGACATGAAGGGCATTAACACGGTGCTAAGGACTCAGGTGGTCTTTCTTCTGTCATTGCTTGTCTCCTTCTCACTCAAATGCTCACCATCCTATAATCCCCAAGCCTTGTGAACCCTAAGATGTTTGGTCCAAATTTCCTTTGAACAATTTGGAAGACTTTTAGCCATTGTCTAGTGGTTGGGATTGGTCTTTTTTTTTTTTTTTTTTTTCCTTCAGTGAGTTTTTCTCTAACAGGTTCTGATGGTCCTTTGGCTACCAGCAAAGCAGTCCCTGCAGAAAAGTCAGGTCTCCAAGTGGGTCCTGAGAACGGAGTAGAACTTTCCAAAGAGGAGCTGATCCGCAGGAAGCGAGAGGAGTTCATTCAGAAGCATGGGAGGGGTATGGAGAAGTCCAAGTGAGCACTCTTTCTCCAGTAGGCTCAAAATACTCTTATCTAGACACGATGGGTACGAGGGAATTCTAATCTCTGGCTCATGTTTCCTTTCCTACTTCTCCACCATAACCTTTTGTTCTATAACCTGTTGCAGCAAGTCCACCAAGTCAGATGCCCCAAAGGAGAAGGGCAAAAAAGCACCCCGGGTGTGGGAACTAGGTGGCTCTGCTAACAAAGAAGTCTTGGATTACAGTACTCCCACCACCAATGGAACCCCTGAGGCTGCCTTGTCTGAGGACATCAACTTGGTAAGAGGCAACAGGGGTCAAAGTGAAGGTTATCTTTAATAAGAAATTGGAAGTAGAGAGCGGGAAGGTGATACCTGAGTTTGAGTGAGGCATAACTTATACTTGGAGCTTCCTCAAATGAAAGAGATAGAGCAATGTGGACTTCTTCCTCAGGAACCTTGGTGTTCCTGACCCCATCTCCTTTCCCCCTATCTTCCAGATTCGAGGGACTGGGCCTGGGAGGCAGCTTCAGGATCTGGACTGCAGCAGCTCTGATGATGAAGGGGCTGCTCAAAACTCCACCAAACCTAGGTAGGGAAATTTCAGGTGGGGGGTGGTATATGCATCTGCAGAACTGGTAAGATACAGCTCCTGCCTACTGGCTTGATGTGTATTTGTGATCTCCTGTTTCTGCAGTGCTACCAAGGGAACACTGGGTGGCATGTTTGGAATGCTGAAGGGCCTTGTGGGTTCAAAGAGCTTGAGTCGTGAAGACATGGAATCTGTGCTGGACAAGATGCGCGATCATCTCATTGGTAAGTTCTGAGGACAGGGCTGACTCATGTTCACACGTGCAGTAGTTAAGAGCAGAAACACCTAGTGTTTCTCACCTGTACCATAAAGGTTGGTTATTGCTGACATAGAACTGACATACCTATCCCCCTCTCCTCAGCTAAGAACGTGGCTGCAGACATTGCTGTCCAGCTCTGTGAATCTGTTGCCAACAAGTTGGAAGGGAAGGTGATGGGGACATTCAGCAGTAAGTACCTCCGTAAGCAAGAAAGTGCTTATGGGTACCAAGAGGTTAAGTGCATAGAGTTTCATTCTTACTAGGTATGTGACTTTTGGCAAATTCCTTAATCTCTGTAACCTAGATTTTAAGGGTTATTGAGAGGATTAAATGAGTTAGTCCTTGTAATGTGCATCTGTTCTGGATTTCTGGGACAAGATTCTAATATTATCCTAGTCCCCTTAGCTCAGAAAGGTGTTAGGCATTTTTGAGAGCCTTCCTTGGGTTTCACAGCTGCAACCTTCTCCACCTCCCCTTTCAGCGGTGACTTCCACAGTAAAGCAAGCCCTTCAGGAGTCGTTGGTGCAGATTCTGCAGCCACAGCGTCGTGTAGACATGCTCCGGGACATCATGGATGCCCAGCGTCGCCAGCGCCCTTATGTCGTCACTTTCTGCGGCGTTAATGGGGTGGGGAAATCTACTAATCTTGCCAAGGTCAGTGCAGCTCCCCAGCCTGTCACCGATATTTCTGTATTTCTCATGTCTCAAAATCCTGGCTTTAGGTGACTTTTCTCACTTCTTTTTCACAGATTTCCTTCTGGTTGTTAGAGAATGGCTTCAGTGTCCTCATTGCTGCCTGTGACACATTTCGTGCCGGGGCTGTGGAGCAGCTGCGTACACACACCCGGCGTTTGAGTGCCCTACACCCTCCTGAGAAGCATGCTGGCCGCACCATGGTGCAGTTGTTTGAAAAGGGCTATGGCAAGGATGCTGCTGGCATTGCCATGGAAGCCATTGCCTTTGGTATAGTACACGGGAAGTTCGGGGGCTTATTTGGGGTCACTTTTCCTCCTTGGGTTCTCGGAACTTGGAGAGGATCAGGCTTGTGTTCCTACAGACTCGCTGCTCAATTACACGAAATAGATCAGTTACTTGCCATGCTCTGCTTTTGGGTAGTATGTGTAGTTGCAGGCAAAGCTAATATGCCCTAACCAAAGAAACCTGAATTTGGTCACTTTTATCCTGTTGCCTTCCTTTTCCTGAATATGTTTGGTGTTGGCCAAGCATACATACAGTCAAGTTTTTCTCACTTTACCTTGGAACCAAATCCAGAGCCCAAGACTGTGAACAGGTAGACTTAATAGAGCCAAACTAGGACTTTTTGAGAGGGGCAGTCCAGGTGTTCAGAGTTGACCACTTTCTTTCTCTAGCACGTAACCAAGGCTTTGATGTGGTGCTGGTGGACACGGCGGGCCGCATGCAAGACAATGCCCCTCTGATGACTGCCCTGGCCAAACTCATTACTGTCAATACACCTGACTTGGTGCTGTTTGTAGGAGAAGCCTTAGTAGGCAATGAAGCCGTGGACCAGCTGGTGAGAGTGTGGGCCCAGTTCCCTTTACAACCTAATAAGCTTTGGTCAATTTAGATGGTTCGTATACTTCTATCACCTTTCTTCTTTCCAGGTCAAGTTCAACAGAGCCTTGGCTGACCACTCTATGGCCCAAACACCTCGGCTCATTGATGGCATTGTTCTTACCAAATTTGATACCATTGATGACAAGGTAAACGTGAGACTGGAGGGTGGAATGAGCATCCTTCACAAAGGAGCTGAGGCTGCAAGGAAACCTTGGCTCCAGCACTTCCTTTTCCTAAGAGGGTGAGTGAAAAGTGGGCTTGTGTTGACTGGCTGTCCTCCTTCTCCACTTAGGTGGGAGCTGCTATTTCTATGACGTACATCACAAGCAAACCCATCGTCTTTGTGGGCACCGGCCAGACCTACTGTGACCTACGCAGTCTCAATGCCAAGGCTGTGGTGGCTGCCCTCATGAAGGCTTAACGTGGCTCTTGCCTAATACCAAATCGCCGCTTTCCCCACAAGCCCTTCTTCCTGTATCAAGAATGTGCTTTAGAGTATGTGAGCAACTTGTCTTCAGTGTAGTGCAAAGGCAGAGTGAAGGGGCTTGTGGCTCCTTCTCATTCTACTCCCCATTCAGCACAGCTGCCATCTGCAAGGAGGGCCTAATCATGTTACAATCATTGCCCACTGACCCTCACCCAGTGGGTCTCCCCCTTCCTACTCAGGCACCCCCTTCACTCTGCCTACAGACTTAGTCTCATTACAGCTTTGACCAATGGTTGGAACCCAACACCAGAGCTTTGCTAATAATTACTGTGGTCAAGAGCCATCTGAGCCTAATGAGTCCCAGTTGCATTAGGTTAAGAGACTCTTTTAGAGCCAGCGCCAGGTCTTGAATGGCACCTCTCCCTAGGATACACAGCCTGCAGGTCCCTGGGACCTGGATGACACCCGCCTCACTGTGGCAGTGTATTGCCTGTTAATTGCTGCTAATTCTAATTCTGATGATGACTGCTACTCCATTGTTTACCCCAAAGCATCTGCTAGGCTGGAGTGATTTGTTACAAATGAGCAAAAGATGAGTCCCTGCTTCCCTCAGAAATAAAGGAGCTGAGCTGCAGGGTTGCATTGGGTTCCTCGGCCTTCAAACTCTTCCCACTCCCAAAATCCAGAAGTAAGCTTTGCATGTTCCCCTTCCTGGGAGGAAACCAATTGTCAGAAGGGTATATGTTGCCTCCCTCCCCCTCATCCTTCACTTCCTAAGCAGTCCTGGCTTTTCCTCATCACTCTCCTCTACAGTGCCTGGTAGACAAGTGCTACATTGAAGAATACAAACCTCTTGTTAAGACTTGTCCTGTCGCTTGGTATTACAGATGTGCTATTAGTGCAATAAGGTGACGGCTGTCTGCTCAGAGAAATACATAATTTATATAAGAAAATAAATTTCATAAATAAATTCCCTTTTAGGTCTTGGAGTTCTTTTATACGGGATTCAAACTGAAATTCCATAACACACCAACTATAGTTCTAAGGCTTATTTATGGTCAGAAGGACAATAGAGCAGAAGTTGGTAATAGGGAATCAGGTAAGTAAACAGTTGTCCTGAGAATGAGATCAGTCCACCCCAAGGTGAAAGATCGGAACTTTTAAAATTTGAGTTATTAAAATTAAGCTTGTTAGTACCTTGATGCAAGAGAGTTTTCTACAATGACTCTAAAAGTAGAGCCAGGGTCCTGGCAAGTAAATGAACAAGCTTTTAATACAGCTCAGTTACGTAAAATACTGTACACTGTAAAAGATCTAGAAAACTAGAGCTTCAAGTCATGTTTTTAAAAAAGCCATTAAGCTTAATTGAAAAACCCATTATAGAGTACAAAACTGCAACAAGAGCCACGGTGAGTCCATGGCGTGTAGACCCCAAGTCCTTCATGCAGAGCTGCAGCCAGTCAGTGGAGGTACCACATTAGTGTGCTGTGGACACAAGCATGTCCAGCCCGGGGAGTGGGTCGGGAGCTGCATTTGGGTCCTGCTGTCACTTGTATTCTTGAACAGGCAACAGAATATCAAGAACCAGGTGGCATGAAGGATTACACTGGAACATTCCCCTCCTGTTCTACCCCACCCTTCAACCTCTGGCTATTGGTACTTTCTGGGAGCTGTGTTGGCTTCTTGTAAGTTTACTTTTTAAACACCGTCCATGGTAGGGCCCAACAGCTTGGTCTAACGGTGGTGATTTCTCTAGCTTGCTCATGTACTACAGCCTGTGGGGAGAAAGAAAAGAGAACAAAATGAAGTTTCACAAAACAGGTTTATGCATTGGAAGCTTCAGCTATTTAAGTCAATCCTAACCCTTCAGAGGGCAAGACAGGAGATTCTAGGAATCTTGTAATATATTTAAAATTTTATTTTTTGTCACCCAGGCTCAAGTGCAGTGGCACAATCATAGCTCACTGTAGCCTTGAACTCCTGGGCTCAAGCAATTCTCTCACCTCAGCCTCCTGAGTAGCTGGGACTACAGACACACACCATCACACCTGGCAGTTAAAAAATTTTTTTTTGTAGAAATGGTGTCTCGTTATGATGCTCAGGCTAGTTTCAAACTCCTGGGCTCAAGCAGTCCTCCTACCTTGGCCTCCCAAAGTGCAGGGGTTATAGGCCTGAGCCACCATACCCAGCAGCACTTTTTTTTTTTTTTTTTTTGGAGACGGAGTTTCACTCTTGTTACCCAGGCTGGAGTGCAATGGCGCGATCTCGGCTCACCGCAACCTCCGCCTCCTGGGTTCAGGCAATTCTCCTGCCTCAGCCTCCTGAGTAGCTGGGATTACAGGCATGCGCCACCATGCCCAGCTAATTTTTTGTATTTTTCAGTAGAGACGGGGTTTCACCATGTTGACCAGGATGGTCTCGATCTCTTGACCTCGTGATCCACCCGCCTCGGCCTCCCAAAGTGCTAGGATTACAAGCGTGAGCCACCGCGCCCGGCCCCCAGCAGCACTTTTTTAAAAAATTAACTGATTATTTCACTAGATTGTAATAGACTAGATAGGAAAAGATAGAATCCTTAATGAGTAGGAGAGGAAAATTATTCTCTATAGTGTTTTTTTAAATTTGGCAATGTGAGGTCCAAAGTAACATTCTCTATAGTCTTAGCCAAGTCCTAGAAAGACTGCTACAGAGTGATTAATAGAATAGGAAACAGTATACCTCTGATTTCACTGTGTGCTGCAGATGAGCCATTTAGCTGACCTTCTCTCACCATCCCTGCTAAATAGAGGACATCAACATCAGACATTAGACTGAAAAGCTAAAACTTAATAGCAAAAAGAAAACTAAAGGGAGATGAGGATATATGGTATGACTGAAAAGCATGGCATTTAGAAATGAAACAGTCATTGGGAAGATGAGGAGGCAGAGAGGATAAACTGGAGTAGTCTTTAGACTTGCATTACCTAACAGGGAAGCAGCGAGTTTCCTTAGTGCACTACAACTGCTTATAGACAAAACATTTTCCATATAGGCAACATGTGTCTGCTGTCCCTAAGCAGTCTAGAGAGCCAAGTTTAGGTAAAAATTCAGTCTCAACAGAGATGGGCAAATGGCACGTGAATGAGCAAATTCAAATAGAAGAGTGAAAAGGACCAGAATACTCCCACAGTATAAAACATGGTAGCACTAGCCATATGCAGCTACTTAGTTTCAAATTAAATTAAAAATTCCATTCCTCAGTCACACTAGCCACATTTCAAGTGTGCAGCAGCCTCATGTGGCTCCTGGCTATGACACTGGACAGTGAAGATTATACAATATTCTTATGACTGCAGAAAATTCTGTTGGATAACACTGGCATAGATAATAGTTCACAAAAAGTAAAAAAACAACACATGGAAGAAAATAATCATTAGACATATGGTCAATTAGAGTATGAACATGCATGGTACTCAAATATACAAATTGGTATTGCCCTCGTAGAAACCAATTTAGCAATATTTATCAATCACTAAAATGTTCATGGTGTTTGACCTGATTACACTGAGAACGCATCCCAAGGAAATTACTGGAAAAACTGAAGGGATACAGATGTTATTCTCACAACATTACTTACAATACAAAAACTGGTAAAAAAGAAAAAAAATCAGAAATGGCCTAACAGGAATAATTAGGTAAACTCTTAACACCCATACTGGAATATAAAAGTAAATTAAAATAGTGGTTATAAAGATAGAAATGTAGGAAAATGTACCATCCACTACTGAGTTAAAAGGACCAAAACTGTATACTTTGTTTACAACTATGAGAAAATACATGGGGAAAACATCAGAAATGTACGAAGGCCAGGGACCGTGGCTCACACTTGTTTTTTTTTTTTTTTTTTTTGAGACAGAGTTGCACTCTTGCTACCCAGGCTGGAGTGCAATGGCGCGATCTCGGCTCACCGCAACCTCCGCCCTCCTGGGCTCAGGCAATTCTCCTGCCTCAACCTCCTGAGTAGCGGGGATTACAGGCACGTGCCACCATGCCCAGCTAATTTTTTGTGTTTTTAGTAGAGACGGGGTTTCACCATGTTGACCAGGATAGTCTCGATCTCTTGACTTCGTGATCCACCCGCCTCGGCCTCCCAAAGTGCTGGGATTACAGGCGTGAGCCACCGGCCCGGCCTCGTGGCTCACACTTGTTTTTTTTTTTTTTTTTTTTTGAGACGGAGTTTCACTCTTGTTACCCAGGCTGGAGTGCAATGGCGCGATCTCGGCTCACCGCAACCTCCGCCTCCTGGGCTCAGGCAATTCTCCTGCCTCAACCTCCTGAGTAGCGGGGATTACAGGCACGTGCCACCATGCCCAGCTAATGTTTTTTTGTATTTTTAGTAGAGACAGGGTTTCACCATGTTGACCAGGATAGTCTCGATCTCTTGACTTCGTGATCCACCCGCCTCGGCCTCCCAAAGTGCTGGGATTACAGGCGTGAGCCACCGGCCCGGCCTCGTGGCTCACACTTGTAATCCCAGAACTTTGGGAGGCTGAGGCGGGAGGGTTGTTTGAGCTTAGGAGACTGAGACCAGCCTGGGCAATATGGTAAAACCCCATCTCTAGAAAAAATACAAAAATTAGCTGGGCATCGTGGTATGTGCCTTTAGTCTCAGCTAGTCGGGAGGCTGAGGTGGGAGGATCACTTGACCCTGGGGAGGTCAAAGCTGTGATAAGCCATGACTGTGCCATTGCACTGCAGCCTGGGTGAAAGAGCAAGACCTTGTCTCAAAAAAAAAAAAAAAAAAAAAAAAAAAAAAAAAAAGGCTGGGAGGGGTGGCTTATGCCTGTAATCCCAGCACTTTGGGAGGCTGAGGCAGGCAGATCACCTGAGGTCAGAAGTTCAAGACCAGCCTGGCCAACATGGCAAAATCCCATCTCTACTAAAAATACAAAAAATTAGCCAGGTGTGGTGGCCGGCGCCTGTAATCACAGCTATTTGGGAGGCTGAGGTGGGAGAATCACTTGAACCCAGGAGGCGGAGGTTGCAGTAAGCCGAGATCGTGCCACTGCACTCCAGCCTAGGTGACAGAGCCAGACTGCCTGAAAAAAAAAAAAAAAGTAGCAAAACGACTGCTTGTAAGGTAATGGATTGTAAGAATTATTTTTCTTCGTCCCATGGCTTGATTTTTCCAAAATATGTGTAACTACATACTATAGAATCCTTTGAAGACAAATTCCACTATGCAAAAGTGAGTACACAGCATGATGCCAGGCACATAGCAAACACTCAGTGTAAAAAACAAAACAACAGCCAAAGAGACCTGTAACCTCTTATTAGTCTATATCTACAGAGACTGATAACATTATGTAAGGGTGAAAGGTAGGCCTGACTTGTTTCAAAATGAAAGTAGGTTTTAACTTGAAACTGTTCTACTACATTTCACATGACAAACTCAGCTGACCATTCTCATAAAGCACTCCGGCCATGTTGAAAATCCTTGGTTTTTTTAAAGACAGAGAACACCTTAATGACAGATACTTTAGGGAAAGCTTCCTACTTTGGTAGGAAGCCTTCATAGCTAATAACAGAATCTGTGCCATTCCCCAATAGCAGTTAAGGTTCCTCAGAGGAATCTTAGTGCACGAAGGAACCTTACTGCTTGGTGATGCAACAGTCTAAAGACATATTTTGCTAAGATTTAGTGCAACAGAAACAGTTATCCAGAGAGATTTTGCTGTTTTAAATTTTAGCATCTTTCCTCAGAATATAGAATCAAAGGAAATATGTAGAACTTGGATATGTATCTCTTGTTAACGAAAACAGAACATGTGCAACAGAAAAGCCTACTCAAAGTCTCAAGTGTGGGCAAACAGCAGCAGAAGAGTCTAGAACACTGCAGGACGCCAGAAAAACTCATTTCCAACAAAGAACAGTGAATAGTTTTCACAAAAGAGGCTTCTTCACATAGTGATGGCTTTAAAAAATCTTGTTCCAGGCCGGGCGCGGTGGCTCAAGCCTGTAATCCCAGCACTTTGGGAGGCCGAGGCGGGTGGATCACGAGGTCAAGAGATCAAGACCATCCTGGTCGACAGGGTGAAACCCCGTCTCTACTAAAAACTACAAAAAATTAGCTGGGCATGGTGGTGCGTGCCTGTAATCCCAGCTACTCAGGAGGCTAAGGCAGGAGAATTGCCTGAACCCAGGAGATGGAGGTTGCGGTGAGCCGAGATCGCGCCATTGCACTCCAGCCTGGGTAACAAGAGTGAAACTCCGTCTCAAAAAAAAAAAAAAAAAAAAAGGAAACCCCCTCAAAAAAAAAAAAAAAAAAAAAAAATCTTGTTCCATCAAAGCATAGCCATGGAAGAAGCTGTGTGATTTTTCATTACAGGAGAATTCTACTTGAAGTAATCTGATTAAGAATCTGGGGATGATTTGATTTGCACTTCTCCTGGGGATGACAGGAAAACTTTATGTTTATTAAATTACCTGTATGCTATTTATTTTAGAAACAGGGTCTTGCTTTATTGCCCAGGCTATAGTACAGTGATGGAATCATAGCTCACTGCAGACTCCAACTCCTGGGCTCAAGTGATCCTCCTACCTCAGCCTCCCAAGCAACTAGACTACAGGTGTGTGCTACTACACCTGGCTAATTTTTTGCAGAGACAGGGTGTCGTTATGTTGCTGACGCTGGTCTTGAACTCCTGACCTCAAGTAATCCTCCCACCTGGGGCTCCCAAAGTGTTGGGATTATAGGCACCACACCAGGCCAAACTGTCTGTACTTCTTCCCTCCTAAGATGAATTCAGGTTGACAATGAAAATACTTACATAAGTTTTCAGGAAATATTCTGTGTACAACAGCAGTTTTTTCAGAATTGGATGGATGATTCAGATTAACCATACACTGAAGCCTGGCTTTATTCAATGTGAGGTTTTGAAAAATAATTCTTCAGTTTAGCTGATACCAAAAATGTCTGTGTTTTGTGGAGTTACTGGGGATTTGCCTGCAGCTACTAATCATCTTGTTTTTTTTGGGGGTGGGGTGGGGGGGGGACACGGAGTCTCCCTCCATCGCTGAGGCTGGAGAACAATGGCATGATCTTGGCTCACTGTAATCTCCACCTCCTGAGCTCAAGCAATTATCCTGCCTCAGCCTCCAAAGTAGTAGGGACTAGAGGCACGTGCCACCATGCCTTGCAATATTTTTTATTTTCAGTAGAGGCGGGGTTTCACCATGTTGGCCAGGCTGATCTCATCCTGACCTCAGGTGATCCCCCCACTTTGGCCTCCCAAAGTGCTGGGATTATAGGCGTCAGCCACCTCACCTGGCCAATTTTTTGTATTTTAGTAGAGACGGTGTTTCACCGTGTTGCCCAGGCTGGTCTTGAATTCCTGAGCTCAGGCAATCTGCCCACCTAAGCCTCCCAAAGTGCTGGGATTACAGGCATGGGCCACTGCACGCAGCCCAGCTGAATCTTTAATCACCATTTTGTTCTTTATTATCAGAATGTGGAGGTAAAATACCAAGTGAATGATACCCCTGTCCTCTGACATGAATACCACCATTACCCATTTCCAAATAACATTGCTAAAAGTTAGTTTTCTGTTTATAAAGATAATACATAATCATTATAGAAGATGCCAACACAGAAACAAACAAATCAACACTTAACTCCTACTACATAAAGATAGCCAGTTAATTTAGCATTCCAGATATATTTCTACACGCACCAAACAAAATAAACCTACAATTCTATATAAATGTAGCTGGCCACAGTGTTTACAACCTGCTTTTTCTTCCTTTACTCATAAGACTCTGACATTTTTTAATGGCAATGAAAACATTTTCCCCTTTATGGCTTCATTGTATTTCATCAATTAAATACATATTGGCACATCTGTAAAATCTCTCTACTAACTTTAGGTTCCTTCCAATTTTTTGCCACTACATTCAATGGAGATTACATTCCCACACATGCATCCTTGTACAACTGTGTGATTGTGCAATCATCCACTATCTTGTTCTAAGAAATTTCTTCTAGGATTAATTGTATTGAATTGATTTCTAGGTCAAAGATTTGAAAATTTTTGCTACATACTCCAAATTTATAGTCATAGAAGTTGTACTAAGTTTACCTTTCCGCAAATACTCCATGAATAAATTAATTTTCTCACAGCCTTAGCCAAAACTGGGTGATTTTTCTTCTCTATCTTGTAATCTAAATTCGAACTGCATTTCACTGGTAACTAGTGAGGCTGAACATCTTTATATTTTCTTCATTCTTCCTGTCTATATTGAACTGCTTGAGCATTCTTTTTTGGTCTATTTTCCCATAATCCAAATGGCATTTTAGTCTAACCTGAAGACTGTGACCTCCTTTACAAGTTGATCAGTCATTATATTCTCAACTTGGCAAGAACTTTTTTGCTCATTACAAATCACAAAAGGCTGAAGAGCTGTTACTCTCTGATTCCCCTTAGCTTCAAAATGCATCTTACCTGATCTACCCCTTGTGGAGATCTCACATGTCAGTCGCTTGAAATATTCTGGCAGATCAGCATAGTCATCTCCATAGGAGATGACTTTAATCCCCTTGTCCAGCATGTTTTCTCGAAGCTTTTTGAACTCATCTACGTCTCCTCTCCGAACCAGCATGAAATGTTCTAGGTCAGATTTATGCTTGACGGCCTCCAGGAAAAGGGCCTGGAAAGTGGTGTCATCCACAGTCCAGCCACAGCCCAGGAAAAGAAATGACTTGTTTTCGTAGAGTTTCTGAATCTCTCTCTTGAAGGAAAAGATACAACATATTGACATTGTGAAGATACACACAAGGCAGGTCTGAAACAAGAAGGTCAGTGCTACACTGAGCAGACTGTGATGACCAATTCACCAAGACTTAAGTGGGTTGATAGGTCCCATCAAGGAGTGTGATCTCTTGCTTATTGCTATAACGTGATGATTGGTCTAAAATTTTATCTTTACCTGCCATTCTTCTGTAGGCTCTCTAATCAGGGTTTCACAGAGCTGGTATTGGTGTACTGGTCCAGTAGTTTATTTTTTACTTTTTTTTTTTTTTTTTTTTGAGACGGAGTTTCACTCTTGTTACCCAGGCTGGAGTGCAATGGCGCGATCTCGGCTCACCGCAACCTCTGCCTCCTGGGTTCAGGCAATTCTCCTGCCTCAGCCTCCTGAGTAGCTGGGATTACAGGCACGCACCACCATGCCCAGCTAATGTTTTGTATTTTTAGTAGAGATGGGGTTTCACCATGTTGACCAGGATGGTCTCGATCTCTTGACCTCGTGATCCACCCGCCTCGGCCTCCCAAAGTGCTGGGATTACAGGCTTGAGCCACCGCTCCCGGCCTTATTTTTTACTTTTTACATATTTTTTCGAGATGGAAGCTCACTCTGTCATCTAGGCTGGAGTGTAGTGGTGCGATCTTGGCTTACTGCAACCTCCACCTTCACCTCCCCACTTCAAGCAATTCTCATGCCACAGCCTCCTGAGTGGCTGGGATTACAGGCATACACCACCATACCCAGCTAATTTTAGCATGTTTACTAGAGTTGGGGTTTCGCCATGTTGGCCAGGCTGGTCTGGAACTCCTGACCTCAAGTGATCCATCTGCCTCAGCCTCCCAAAAGTGCTGGGATTACAGGTGTGAGCTACTGCACCTGGCCAGTAGTTTACTTATTTTATTTTATTTTTGAGACAGAGTTTTGCTCTGTCACCCAGGCTGGAGTGCAGTGCCATGGTCTTGGCTCACTGCAACCTCCACCTCCTGGGTTCAAGCGATTCTCCTGCCTCAGCCTCCCAAGTAGCTTGGGATTACAGGTACCTGCCAGAACACCTGGCTAATTTTTGTATTTTTAGTTGAGATGGAGTTTCACCATGTTGGTCAGGCTGGTCTTGAACTCCTGACCTCAAGTGACCCACCCTCCTTAGCCTCCCAAAGTGCTGGGATTACAGGCATAAGCCACCATACCTGGACTACTTTTTTTAGATTTATGTGTTCAGAGGTCATTAGGCAAAGAGCAGGTCTTCATATATCTTACTCCTTCCATTTCTGGGCCATATTTGCCTTTTTTGTCTTAAAAACTGAACCGTGAATCACCAGAGAAGATAATTCCATCACTGGATTTGCTCAAGCAAAGGTGTCTGATACTTAGATACACACACTTTGTGTGTGTACATATATGTATACACACACACACACAAACCATAGAAATGACTTTTTCTAAGGTATCAATGTCTGAGATGGATGCTGTTGCAGCAGATGCTGGGAAAGAATGGGTTAAAAAAAAAAAAGTCCCTTGTGCTTTAGACAATACATTTTCTTGGTCTATGTTTTGCCTCATCATGTAAAGATGCTATTATTCTATGTGACCCAGTCCTGAAAATAGCATACAAGATTCTCAGAACTGGGGGCTAGTGAATACTTCTGGTTTGAACATGTTTATCTGAAAAGTCAAAAATGTGCATCCCAAAAGATCAATAAGCTTTTCACAAAATATAAATGTGAGTAAGTATGGTTAATTCAATATAAACCCATTGCCATTTATACAAAATCTCTTTAGAATGTATACTCTAGGCTGGGTGCGGCGGTTCACATCTGTAATCCCAGCACTTTGGGAGGCCAGGGTGGGAAGATCACGAGGTCAGAAGATCGAGACCAACCTGCCTAATATGGTGAAACCCTGTCTCTACTAAAAATACAAAAAACTAGCTGGGCATGGTGGCATGCGCCTGTAGTCCCAGCTACTCGGGAGGCTGAGGCAGGAGAATTGCTTGAACCTGGGAGGCGGAGGTTGCAGTGAGCCGAGACAGAGCGAGACTCCATCTCTAAAAATAAAAATAAATAGAATGTACGCTCTAGTAGTGGTTGGTTTGTAAGAAACTGCCTCAATTATTTCTGGCATAGAGAGAGCTATTAATAAACCAAATGGGCAGGCGTGGTGGCTCACGCCTGTAATCCCAGCACTTTGGGAGGCTGAGGTGGGCGGATTACAAGGTCAAGAGATAGAGACCATCCTGGCCAACATGGTGAAACCCTGTCTCTACTAAAAATACAAAAATTAGCTGGGCATGGTGGTGCCCGCCTGTAATCCCAACTACTTAGGAGGCTGAGGCAGGAGAATTGCTTGAACCCAGGAGGCAGAGTTTGCAGTAAGCCGAGATCGTGCCATTGCACTCCATCCTGGGCAACAGAGCAAGACTCCATTTCGAAAAATAAAACAAATAAACCAAACGATCCAAATGATGATAAAGGGTACTAATGTATCCTTTGTATGTGAAGATGATGCCAATGATGGCAGGCCATCTGCTGATTATCAATTAAGTACAAACAGGGATCATGGGGTTTGACACCTTAAGAGAACTTCTACATTTCCTAGGATAGCATGCGCACCCACAAGTTAAGCACAGGAAGAATGTCTAACTTTCCAGTTTCTTTCCTTTTTTAGAGACAGGGTCTTGCTGTCACCCAAGCTGGAGTGCAGTGGCTCCAGTCACAGCTCACTACAGCCTTAAATTCCTAGTCTTAAGTGATCCTCCTGCCTCAGCCTCCCAAGTAGCTGGGACAGTGTACACCATGATGCCTAGCTAATTTTATTTTTTGTAAAGACAGAGCCTTGCTATGTCGCCCAGGCTGGTCTCGAACTCCTGGCCTCAAGCGATCCTCTCCCCTTGGCCTCCCAAAAAGTACTAGGATTATAGGCATGAGCCATTGCTCCTAGCCCCTGATCTTCTGTTTTCACTTAATGAAAAGAAGATGTTCCCCTTTAAGACCTATGGCACATTTAGAGAGACTTCCCAGGAAGGAGTTCCTGAGACCAGCAAGATCAGCCCCACTCACCATGACTTCAGTGTTCCTCAGTACGTTCTGATATCCCGCTGGATGAAGGACAATGCCACTAGGGTTGGTGTAGACTCCATGAATATGCAACACGCTCAGCTTCCGCTTCTCCTGAGCCCACTCTAGGACCTGCACAACACACATATAGCCCAACCAGCTTGGCAGGGCTGAGCACTTGTTTAAAGGTCACAATGGGCAAGAGGCTGTTTTGAAGACTAGAATTCTGATGTAACTCTCTAGCTTCATGATATAGGATAAGAATGCAAAAGCTGATGTAGTCTAAGTTTCCACTTCAGGAATGACTGTCAAGAATGACGGCAGCAGATCTGGTGATTTCTCTTTGAAAGTAACAATCAAAAATTAGAATTTGTCATCATTTGCAGAAACAACAGGGACCCTTTGCACTGGTGACATGCATGAGAGCTATGGACAACTGCTTCAGTGTTCGCCCCAGAAAATCAAGCCTCTGCATCCAGGCCCTTGTGTGGCCCCTCACTGCAGTGACTCCAGGCTAACCACATGGCTTGCTTTTAGCCAATGGGTACCAGCAAACATACACAGGCAGAAGCTTGGTAAGTGTTGGCACAAGAAGTCTTACTTCTCTTGTGTTACTTTTAGAATCCAACTGCCATGTGAAGAAACTGAAGAAGCCTGGCCTGGCCAACTGCTTGCACTGACAGACATAGAAGTATGGTCCTCTTATATCACTCAGCCCTAGTGCGGCCATCAGATGTCTGCAGGTATGTGAACAGGCTGCAAAAATCAGCAGAAGAAATGCCGGCTGAATCACTGAGCCCAGTTCAAATTGCTAATGTACTTTATTATGGTGAGATAAGATATTTATTATTATAAGCCACAAAATCTCAGGGCCATTACTTGTACAGCAAGAGGTAAGTGACAAAAAATCATTTCAGTCACCTCGGAGGAACCTAAAAGGCTGCCAGTGAAGAACAATCATTTAGGCGACAGTGAATGCAATAGCCACCTGACTCCATGGCTCCGTTTTCCCAAGGACTGGAGACAGCATACATTTATTCTTACCACATTTTAAAGAAATAGGCTATGAATTAGGAAAGTAGCCAAGAGGCATAGAGATTTAGAATTTGAATGTTACTAGGCCCCATTCTAACTACCAGTCAATGTCTTTAACCAACAGACTGCAATACTGCCCCTAATGTGGGCTAAAAATACAACGTAAATCTGGAGGCCCAAGGATGAAATGAGAAGGAAAACATCAAATCTGACAGATATCCTCAGCTTTTAAAAGGCCCTTATGCTTCTGATATCCATGAACACACTAGGTCATAATCTCTGGAAATTTTATTACAAACAGCATAGAAGCTACTTGAGCTGCTAGTTTTAAAATTTCAATCATTTATCTGTTTGTTTATTTATTTTTAGACAGAGTCTCGCTCTGTCGCCCAGGCTGGAGTGCAGTGGCACAATCTTGGCTCACTGCAACCTCTTCCTCCCGGGTTCAGTGATTCTCCTGCCTCAGCCTCCCAAGTAACGAGTAACTGGGACTACAGGCATGCACCACCACACACAGCGAGATTTTGTGTTTTTAGTAGAGACTGGGTTTCACCATGTTGGCCAGGCTGGTTTCAACCTCAAGTGATCCACCTGCCTCAGCCACCCAATATGCTGGGATTACAGGCGTGAGCCACCGTCCCCAGCCTATTTATTTATTTTTGAGACAGGATCTTACTCTGTCACCCAGGCTGGAGTACAACAGCATGATCACAGCACACTGTAGCCTTGACCTCCTCAGCTCAATTGATCCTCCTGCTTCAGCCTCCCAAGTAGCTGGGAATAGCTGGGACCACAGGCACACACCACCATGCCCAGCTAATTTTTAAATTTTTTGTAGAGACAGGGTCTTGCTCTGTTGCCCAGGCTGGTCTCGAACTACGCTCAAGTGATCCTGCCATCTCAGTTTCCCAAAGTGCTGGGATTAGATGCCTGGGCCGCCGTGCTCAGCCCCGTCATTTATTAATCAAAAAAATATTTACCAAGCACCTAAATCCATCATATTTAAGACATGAGGGTTGTATTTGAGCTATGAGGTTAAGGAAGACCAACATGATACCTGTCCAAGTGAAGTTACTATTCCTATGGGGTAAGCAGTCAGAAAACAGATAGCTAAGATAAAAACTGCGCTGGGTGTAATCCTAGCACTTTGGGAGGCTGAGGCGGACCGATCACCTGAGGTCAGAAATTTGAGACCAACCTGGCCAACATGTTGAAACCCTGTCTCTACTAAAAATACAAAAATGAGCCAGGCATGGTGGCGGGCACCTGTAATCCCATCTACTCAGGAGGCTGAGGTAGTAGAATTGCTTGAACCTGGGACGAGGAGGTTACAGTGAGCTGAGATCGCATCATTGAACTCCAGCCTGGGAGACGAGAGTGAGACTCTGTCTCAAAAAAAAAAGAAGGAAAAAAAGCCAAAAACACTCCCCAAAACTGCAAGTTATACCAAGTGCTACAAAGGAAATGGACAAGAGACTGGATCAAAAAATAAGCATCCAATTTAAATAGGATGTTCAGAGAAATCCTCTCAGGAGGTGACCCCTAATTCGAGAGTTATAAATGAAGAAGGAGCTGATCACACAGAACATGAGGGAGTAGGTGGAAGACATTTGGGCCAGAGAAAACTAGTCTTCCTGGGGCAACTTTTCTCTAAATTCAGTTTCCTTTAAATCATGCCTTCAAGGTCAGCAAAACCACAAGAGTGGTATTACGACCACCACTCTGGCAGAGGCAATACTGTGGTATTGAAAGCCAGTGGTCGAATCACTTATCTACTCAACTCTACTTAGCTGGGCTCTAAATTGGACATAAAGGCAGTTTCCTGAGGAAAACAAATTATAGAATGAAAATTACAAAAATCACAGAATAGAACAAATAAGACTTTAAGAACTCATCTCATTAGCTGACACACATCAACATCTATAATTCGATTATTATGGTAGGTACAGTATGGGCTATGCTGACACAAGTCTTCGGAGGTTTCCGCTAAACATTAACCTCAAGTCAGCCATTGCTTGGCTTGGAAGTTGCTCTTCCAATCAGTATAAAGTAGTTTTCAGACATTTCCAATAGATGCCATGTAAAAAAAAATGTATCCGAAGAACTCTAAATCAGTATTATCAATATTACACCACTCGATATTGTCAAGTGCTAAAGAGATCTTACAGTTCAAATGACTTCCCCAATCTTGCTTTAAAACTGTGTGAAATTATCAGAAGTCACAGATCTGAACACTTAAGTTCTATGCATTTTACTGTGTATTGATTTGATCTTTAAAAAGAAAGAAAAAAGAAAAACCAAAAATCCAACCAGGGAAAAAAATTTTCCTTTCTAGCTCTATATAAATACCAATATACCAACTAGAAAACAGCTTTTCTGATGAAGATACAATCCACTAGCCTGAAAGAGGGACCAATGCTTTACTTTTTACCTTTTTCTCATCAGTAAGGTCAAGGGATTCAAGCTGTTTCCCCTGATCTGCTGCATACAGTTCCAGGAGATTATCAAAATTTGTAGTTAATACAAGGGCTCCATTTTCCATCAGATGGAGAACTGACTGAAGTAGCTGTTTTCCCGAATCTTCCATTTTTGACTCCAAGTCATCAAATACTTCATATAAACAGTCCTTGAAAAATGTGGATCGAACATTACTGGTACGCTGAAGAGGGATTTGAAAAAAGAAAATTAGTCCAAAGTGCTTTGGTAAGTCACTTGTTTTAGTTACAGCAATAAATTTTTAAAGAATATTTTGTATTCAAAACAGAAATAAAATATTATCTAGCGCATAAGAATGTAATAAGGAAGATGAGATGATACATGCCAAGTGCTTAGCACACTGCTTAGCATGGAGCAAGTGATCAACAAACACTACTAACGCAAACAAGCGTCAGCTTCCTAAAGTACGCATTTTTACAGAATAAAGAAAACACACATGGCCAAGGGATGTGAATTTACTGTTGGTATTAAAGGGAAGCTGGGGTATACAGCAGAGCAACAACCACCCTCTCATTAGGCACCAGGTAAGAAGGCAACACTTTCTGTTCATCTTTCCTTATTTAGGAAAGCCCCGCTGAAACACAGCCCTAATTGTGGTTTAGCATCTCCTTTTCTAATCTTAGGTGTTTGTACAGCTGTTTATGAATTTAGGAAAAACCGCTTAACTTCTACATGCCATAATTCAGCAGTTTGTTCACAGGTTTATTATAAAGACTTTCCAGTATACAAAAAAGGTTAACATAAGCAATTTAATCCATTTTTTAAATTAAAAATTTTGTATTTTGCAACTGTTAGAACACATCAAACACCAATCAGTTCTAAGAATCTACATGTCTTGTTTGTTTTGCAGATGTGAGGTCTGGCTATGTAGCCCAGGTGCGTCTTGAATTCCTGGGGTCTCAAGTGATCCTCCCACCTCAGCCTCCCAAAGTGTTGCATTTATAGGTATGAGTCACTTTTCCAGACCTCCTATTTCCTAACATATGATTTACGTAAATAACTGCTTTTCAGATTCATTTTGAATACATGTAAACATCCCTGAGTACTAATGAGGAACTATAATACCAACTTCAGGTGGGAAGCTGGCTTTACGACTGAAAAGACCAAGTGGCCCTTGAGACGAAGAGAATTCAAAATGTCTGATCCCTACCCTGCCCGGGAAATACCATTTGCAAGGGTTTGAACTGGTCCCCTTAAGTTCATGCACTGGAAACTTAACCCCAATGGAACTGTGTTGGGAGGTGGGGCCTAATAAGAGGTGATCAAGTCACAAGGGCCATGCCTTCATGAACTGATTAATGTCATTATTGAGGGAGTAGATTTGTTATCCTAAGTGCATCGGTTATAAATGCAAGTCTGGGCCAGGTGCAGTGGCTCACACCTGTAATCCCAACACTTTGGGAGGCTGAGGCAGGTGGATCATGAGGTCAAGAGATTGAGACCATCCTGGCCAACATGGCAAAACTGTCTCTACTAAAATGACAAAAATTGGCTGGGCATGGTGGCGTGTGCCTGTAGTCCCAGCTACTCGGGATGCTGAGGCAGGTGAATCACTCAAACCTGGGAGGCAGAGGTTGCAGTGAGCCGAGATTGTACCACTACACTCCAGCCTGGCAACAGAGCGAGACTCCATCTCAAAAAATAAAAATAAGTGAGTCTGGCCCTCTCTTGCTGTCCTGTCTCTCCATGTACCACCTTCTTATATCCTAGCAGGAAGGGCTTTGCTAGATGTGGCTCCTCTCTCTTGAACTTCTCACCTTCCACAACTGAGCCAAATAAACTTCCACTGTGTATGTTTCTGACAGTGAAATGCTCAGATAAGGATCTGTTTCCATGGAACCACCTAAGCAGATTCAGAAAACATTTCAATTTGCCAAATTCTTTTCCTAATTTGTCCAAGTATCTTATAAAATTATCAAGTCTTTAATCATACCTATCAAGTAAATAATAAATAAATGGAAAGTATTTTCACCATGAGCACAGAAGTAAAACAGTCCTTCTGCCTGGTGAGGACGTGCTCATCGTTTCTCTGAGCTCTGTCAATCACCCTTCCTCCTGCATCTACCACTAGACAGACTTTTCCATGTTCCCCTATTGTGAGTGGGTTCAGAGATTCTCCTGAAGTGCTAATAGATGCAACAGCCTATAGTTTACATGGCTAAGGATATGGGTCATGGCTTTCAGCTTTCGTCCATTTTCATTATATCATGACTATAATTATATGACATATTAATTAGGTACAGGCAACTAACTAGGGACAATGCAATTTAACTGGATGAACAATCTGATCAGAAGCAAACAGTGAAGAATCTGTAACTCTAGTTACTGACTTTTACTATATTCAAGAGTCAACTTCTGGGCAAGGTGGCCCACGCCTGTAATCTCAACTTTGGGAGGCCAAGGCTAGAGGATCTTTCGAGCCCAGGAGTTTGAGACCAGCCTGGGTAACATAGCAAGACCCCATCTCTGCAAAAAAATTAAAACACCAAAAACTTAAAAAATCTGCCAAGGGTCATGACACATGCCTGCGGGCCCAGTTATTCCGATGGTTGAGGCAGGAGGATTGCTTGAGCCCAGGAGGTCAAGGCTGCAGTGAGCCGTGATCGTGCCACTGTACTCCAGCCTGGGCAACAGAGCAAGACCCTGCCTCAAAAAAAAAAAAAAAAAAAAAAAAGACAACTACTATTGAAAGCCAGAGACTTCTTTAGATTTGTTATAAAAAATATGGTGCTCCTTTCATGTCTACCCAAATCACAAACTCATTTGCCCTATGATCTAGCAGCCCCATGTATCCTACAATTTCAAACAAATGAAATGGCACATACAAGGTTATCACTGCATTATTATTTGTAATAGCAGAAGACTGGAAACAAGCCAAGTATCCATATATAAGAGAGCAATATGGCTGAGTACCCATATACTGGAGAATGAGATGGAAAAATTTTCAAGCTATACTGTGAAGTAAAACAAATTGCAGAATAGTATGTCTAGAATGCCATCTTTTGAGCTAGGGGATAGAGGTTGAATAAATATAGTCCTCCTTGCATGTATCTGCAAAAAGAAACACTGGAAGGCTATATAAAAAAAAACTTGTTAAGAGTAGTAACCTATGAAAGGTGGGTTTTGGGAGAAGAGAAAGATAAAAGACCTATGTGGGAGTTGGAGGTCTCGATATAAGACACCTTTTTAATAGTGTTTGGACTTCTGCAATGTGTATAAACAATACCTAATCAAAAAAGGAAAATTAAGTTGAAAATTAAGAATGCAGTAACTTCTTGGTTTTATTACGAAGCTTTTTGTGTTTTATAACTTCTTTTGTACTTTGACTCACACACACAATCAATACATACTATATTTTAACACCAGTTTAATTATTACACACACAGTTAAAAAGGTCTGGGTATACAATCCCATAATCATGGGTGTGGAACACATTTTCTTGCTTCTAAGAAAAAGAAATACAAAAGGTTAAAACCTGGGGGTAAAAATCCAAGTCATTATTTTAGCTAAATATCTTTTAGTCCTATTTATGTTACTAAATCCTACATATCAACATAGGAAGGAAATATGCTTATGTGACTGCATTGACTTCCTCAGATTCAAAATAAAAGTTTCTCTGTTTTCTTGAGACAAGGTCTGGCTCTGTCACCAAGCTGCAGTACAATGGCATGAACATGGCTCATTGCAGCCTCGACCTGCTGGGCTCAAGCAATCTCCTGCCTCAGTCTCCTGAGTGGCTAGGACTACAGATGCATACCACCACGCATGCTACTTTTTAAATTTTTTGTAGAGACAGGGTCTCACTATGTTGCCCAGGATGTTCTCAAACTTCTGGCCTCAAGCGATCCTTCTGCCTCAGCCTCCTGTGTAGGTGGGACCACAGGCTTGCACCACTACATTTGGCTAATTTTAAAATTTTTGTAGAGGTACGGGGGTCTCAGTTTGTTGCACAGGCTGGAAAAGTCTTTTTCTCTTAAAGCAGATGACCCTAGAACTAAATTTCCCACCAGTAGCCTTTATAAGCAAAGACAAAGGAATGAAAACATAAACAGGGAGGTTCAGCAGTCAAAAGGAAATGCCAAACTCCCACACAGCTACCAAGGAACTTTCCCCATTCATCCAAAACAGTGACTTTCATTTCCTTCTGCCCTGAAACTTAGTAAAAACAAGAGACAAAAAAATAGTGTGGTGGCTCAAGCCTATAATCTCAGTTTTTGGGAAGCTGAGGCAGGAAGATCACTTGCGCCCAGGAGTTCAACACCAGCCTGGACAACACATGGAGACCCCGTCACTATTTAAAAAAAGAAAAAAGAAAAAAACTCTGTTTCCCCCTCAGGGTTATTAACATTTCTAGTGCATCTATTATGTGCCAGACATTTTATATACATTATCTCACCCATGCTTCACAAAGCGACACGAGGAAGTAATATTCCAGTTTCACAGGTGCAAAAACAAATGCTGAGAAGTTAAAAAAATGTGTGCAGGGTTCCAGTGCATTTAAGTGACCGATTCTGATTCTGAACGCAAGCTCATTGCAGTGAATCTGTAATCTCACTTCCCTGGTATAGATTAAACTGGCTCAGTAGACGGGCCTGTTAACCCTGCCATAGTACTGCTGAGTTTATACTATTAGATTTGATTGTTTTCTTTTTTAATATGGACATTTCCAAACATACACAAAAAGTTAGTACATATAAAACAATATATAACTCCAACGCTTCTCACTTAAAAAATATTAATTTCTTAATATTAGTGTTCAAGATTCCCCTAAATATATCACTTTTATTATTAAGTTGCAATAGTTTTTTATATATTCTGGACACTAGATTTTTGTCAGATATGATCTGCAACTATTTCCTTCCATTCTGTGGGTTGTCATTTCGTTCTTTTTCTTTTCTAGAGATGTGGGTCTCACCATGTTGCCTGGGCTGAGGTACAATGACATGATCATAGTTGGCTGCAGCGTCAAACTCCTGGGATCAAGTGATCCTCCTACCTTAGCCTCCCGAGTAGTTGGGATTACAGGTGCACGCCACTGTGCCTGGCTCTCTGTTCACTTTCTTGACGACAACCATTACAGCACTTAAGTTTCAAACTCTGATCATGTCCAATTTATCTACTTTTCTTCTGTTGGCTGTGCTTTCAGTATCAGATTTAAGAATTTTGCCATGCTGCCTTAATTACTATGGCTCTGTAGTAAGCTTTGAAATTAAAAAAAAAAAAAGTGCGTCTCCCTATTTTGTTCTTTTTCAAGACTGTTTTGGCTTCCCTAGGTCCCTTGTAATTCCATATGAAGTTTTAATATTTTTTTTAGAGACGGGGGTGCACCAAGGGGGCCACGCTGGTCTTGAACTCCGGCCCTCAAGCAGTCACCCAAACGAGCCCCCCCAAAGAGCAGCGAAAACAGCCTAAAAATCAGTTTTGTTTTGTTTTGTTTTTTTAATGAGACAGGGTCTCATTATGTTGCCCAGGCTGGAGTGCAGTGGCTATTCACAGATGCGATCCCACTACTGATCAGCATGGAAGTTTTGACCTGCTCCATTTCCAACCTGGGTTGGTTCACCCTTCTCCTTAAGCAACCTGGTGGTCCCCTGCTCCTGGGAGCCCAGAACTCCTTGCCTCAAACACTCCAGCAATCCTCCTGCCTCAGCCTCCCAAGTAGCTGGGACTACAGGTGCATGCCATGGTGCCTGACTCCATATGAATTTTAAATCAGTTTGTCAATTTCTACAAAATCAGCAGCTGGGATCCTACCAGGGACTGTGCTTAATCTGTAGACTAATTTGCAGAGTATTCCATCTTAATAATATTAAGAGTTCTGATCCATGAACACGGCATGTCTTTCCATTTATTTAGATTTTCTTTCATTTCTTTAAATGTTCCATAGTTTTCAAACTGTTAAGTTCTGCACTTTTTTTTTTTTGAGACAGAGTGTTGCTCTTGTTGCCCAGGCTGGAGTGCAATGGTGCAATCTCGACTCGCTGTAACCTCCGTCTCCCAGGTTCTAGTGATTCTCCTGCCTCAGCCTCCAGAGTAGCTGGGATTACAGGTGCCCACCACCACGCCCAGCTAATTTTTGTATTTTTAGTAGAAACTGGGTTTCACCATGTTGGCCAGGCTGGTCTCAAACTCCTGACTGCAGATGATTCACCTGCCTCAGGCTCTCTAAGTGCTGGGATTATAGGCGTTAGCCACCACGCCTGGCCTCTGCACTTCTTTTGTTAAATTTATTTCTATTTTATTGTTTTTGATGCTAAGTGGAAAAAATTTTAATATTTCATTTTAGTATTGTTCATTGCAAGTATATAAAAATACTATTTTTATGTATTGATCCTAGATCCTCCAACCTTGCTGAACTTGTTAGTTCTAACAGAGGATAACCTAGGATTTTCCATAGACAAGATCATCTCGTCTGCAAACAGAGGCAGTTTACTTCTTCCTTTCCAATATGTATTCCTTTGATTTCTTTTTCTTCTTGCCTAATTGCCCAGTCTGGAACATCCAGCACAATGTTGAACAGGAGTGGAGTGGGCAAACAGCCTTGTCTTGTTGCTGATCTTAGTGGAAAAATGCAGTCTTTCAGCATTAAGTATGCTATCTGTGAGTTTCATATATATATTGTGTTGAGGTAGTTTCCTTCTACTGTTTGCTATTATTTCTTCACCTGTAGAGTGTGTTTTGTTTTTAATTATAAAAGAGTGTTGAATTTTACTAACATGCTTTTTCTGTACCTATTGAGAAAATCATGTGGTTTTGTCTTTTTATTCTATTAATATGATGTCTTAAAATGATATGCAGTTTTTTTTTGGTTTTTTTTTTTTGAGATGGAGTCTCACTTTATTGTCCAGGCTGGAGTGCAGTGGTGCAATCTTGGCTAACTGCAGTCTCTGCCTCCTGGGTTCCAGCAATTCTCCTGCCTCAGCTTCTCAGGTAGCTGGGATTACAAGCACGTGCCACATGCCCGGCTAATTTTTGTATTTTTGGTAGAGATGAGGTTTTGCCATGTTAGCCAGGCTGGTTTTGAACTCCTGACCTCGGGTGATCCTCCCGCCTCAGCCTCCAGAAGTGCTAGGATTACAGGCGTGAGCCACTGCACCTGGCCTGATGTCAAATCAACCTGTCATTCCCCAGAAGCCTCTGATTTCCTAGTGGGTGCTGCATTCACTCTGGTTGTATTTTGTTGAGGACTTTTGTGTCCATGCTCCTAAGAGATGTGGGTTGCTAGGTAGTTTTCTTTTTTTTTTGGAGATGGAGTCTCATACTATCGCCTAGGCTGTAGTGCAGTGGTGCAATCTCGGCTTACTGCAACCTCCACCTCCCATTCAAGTGATTCTCCTTGCCTCAGCCTCTCAAGTAGCTAGGATTACAGGTGCCCCCCATCACGCCTGGCTGATTTTTATTTTTATTTTTAGTAGAGATAGGGTTTCACTATGTTGGCCAGGCTGATCTTGAATGTCTGACCTCGTGATCTACCTGCCTCAGCCTCCCAAAGTGTTGGGATTACAGGCGTGAGCCACCACGCCCGGCCTTCTTTTTTTTTTTTTTTTTTTTTTTTTAAGAGAGTGACAGGGTCTTGCTCTGTCACCGAGATTGGAATGCAGTAGCACGATTATAGCTCAGTAGCTCAGTTCAGTATCAAACTCCAGGGATCAAGCAATCCTTGTGCCTCATCCTTCCAAAGTGTTGGGCTTACAGGCGTGAACCACTGCGTTTAGTTATTTTCATTTTTTCTGATGTCTTTTGTTTGGTTTTGTTATCAGGATAATAACTGGCCTCATACAATGAGGTGGAAGTACTCCCTCCTACTCTACTTTTTAGAGTATTTTGGGAAGAATTTCTTCTAGCCCTGTCAAGCAATAATCTACTTTCTGCTCTATGGATTTGCCTATTCTGGACATTTTATATAAATGGAATCATGCCATAGATGTCCTTTTGTGTCCGGCTTCTTTCACTTAATGTTTTCAAGGTTCATCCATGTTGTAGTATGGATCAGTACTTCATTCCTTTTTATGGCCAATTAACATTGTATGGATAGACATTTTGCTTATCCGTTCATGGGCTAGACATTTGAGTTGTTTTCACTCTTTTGGCTATTATGAATAATGGTGCTATGAACATGAGTGTATAATTCTTGCATGAATATGCTTTCCATTCTTTTGGGTATATACTTATGAGTGCAATTGCTGGGTCATATAATCACTGTTTAACTTTCTGAGGAACTGCCAATCTGCCAATCTGTTTTCCAAAGCAACTGCATCACTTTACATTCCCACAAGGGTTCCAATTTCTCCAAATCCTTAGAACACTTACTATTGTCTTTTGATTCTAGTCATCCCAATGGGTGTGAAATGGTTTTAAAGAGTTCATGGAATCTCCACTACATACACTTTACAGATATTAAAAATGGACCTAAATATGATACCTAAAACTGTAAAACTCTTAAAAGAAAATACAGGTGTGCTTATTGGCCATTTGTGTATCTTCTTTGGAGAAATGTCTATTCAACTACATTGTTATCGAATTAATTTACCTTTTTATTAAGTTACAATAGTTCTTTATATATTCTGGATATTATACCCCATCAGATATGTGATTTGCTAACATTTTCTCATTCTGGGAACTACTTTTCACATTTCTTTTTGGTAGAGACAGGGTCTCACTATGATGTCTAGGCTGGTCTCGAACTCACGGCCTCAAGCAATTGTCCTGTCTTGGCCTCCCAAAGTGCTGAGATTACAGGCATAAGTCACCATGCCCAGCTCACTTTCTTGACAGTGTCGTTTGAGCCTAACAGTTTTTAACTTTAGATAAGTCCAGTTTATGTATATACATATATTTTTTTAGTTTTTTGCATTTTTGGTGTCATGTCTAAAAAACCACTGCCAGATCCAGTCATAAAATTTTAAACCTGTATTTTCTTCTAAGAGTTTTACAGTTTTAGATATCATATTTAGGTCTTTGATCCATTTTTAATATTTGTAAAGAGTATGAAGTAGAGATTCCATGAACTCTTTAAAACCTCATTAATTCATTTTTTTTTTTAGGATGGAGTCTTGCTGTATTGCCCAGGCTGCAATGCAGTGGCATGATCTCGGCTCACTGCAACCTCTACCTCCTGGGTTCAAGCTATTCTCCTGCCTCAGCCTCCCTAGCAGCTGGGATTACAGGTGCCCACCACCACACCATGCCCAGCCCAGAATCCTGATTTTTAAGAAATTTTTAAGACAGGCTGGGCACAGCGGCTCATGCCTGTAATCCCAGCACTTTGTGAGGCTGAGGTGGGCGGATCACTTGAGGTCAGGAGTTTGAGACCAACCTGGTCAACATGGTGAAGGCCTGTGTCTACAAAAATACAAAAATCACCTGGGCATGGTGGCACACATCTGTAATCCCAGCTACTCAGAAGGCTGAGACAGGAGAATCGCTTTAACCCAGGAGACGGAGGTTGCAGTGAGACAAGATTGAGCTATTGAACTCTAGCCTGGGCAAGAGGGAGACTCTGTCTCAAAAAAAAAAAAATTAAGACAAAGCAAGACAAGGAGTCCTTTTATCCAACTCAGTTTGGTAAAATAAGGTACAATTCCTTATAAATATTTTGAGTTACTGCCTCTAAAAAGAACATTAAGAACTGGTTTTGTTTCATCCATAAAATGATAACATTATCCCCAATCTTTGTGGGGTTCCATATATGGCATGGATGCCACAGAACACAGCTTTTACAGTAGTGAGTGTAGAAAACGTAAATTCAACACAGTGGTAATTTGTACCCTCTCACAGATACACAGTGAAATGGGGTTAAAACAATTACCCCGAATGGAGTCCATAAATAGACATGGTGCAGAAGAGCCAAATCTTATGTAAACTTGCAAGCTATAAATGAATATCCATGTTATATTTGGCATGCTAGTTGTGACAGCCAAATCATGCTAGGTATGATAGTCAAATTTTCGGAAATTTCAAATACCATGGCACATGAGGGTACTCACAGGAGACAGTTTCTGGATAAGGTCATGGGCAACATGGACAAGGTTCTTGTCTTCATGGAGACATTTCTGAAACTTTTTACTCTCTTCATCTTCTAAAAGATCAAAATCAATGGCAGCATCCAGTAAGGCCTGAATTAACCCCTTCCAGGATTTGAGGGCTGGAACTTGAGGTGCAACTGCAGCACTGATGCCTGTTCCAATCACTAGCACAAGTTCTCGAGGCTTCTTAGTTTTTAGGCTTGGAAGCAGCTTCCTAAAAAAAACAAAACAAATATGAGGCACACAGCAAGATTGTCTGACTAAAGTTATAGTTTTTAGCTAACTTTTATAATTGCAGAGATGACCCATACCAGTTTTTGACACTTTTCCAAAGCAGTTTAAAGAAAACGACCAGAATATTGTATCAGTGCTTGCTGAAAAATGAGTAATAAACCTATTTTAGGAATTCTAAAACGGATCGTAAAATCAGTTTCCTGCTTCATAGTCCCTCTCTCAACCTAAGAAATTCCACTAATATTAGGAAAAGATCCAAATAGATTACAGCTCAGCTGAGTTCTGCCAACTAAATTATACTTAAAACCAATGTTAAATTTCAAAAGAACACATTTGATTTGTACTCTAGAAAAACAGAAAAGAACCTCAGGACAAATTAAATTCCTATTACTGAGAAATGTCAAACAGATGAAAGAAAGACAATAAAAAATTTAATTCCAAATTTTGTAAACACTATCCTCAGGCAAAAAAAAAGAAAAGAAAAAGGGGCCAATAGAATTCTGAAAACACAGGAGCCCCACATACCTAAATAAATAAAGACATAACTATTCAACAGACACGACAAACAGTGAAAAACATTCCTTTCTCACCATGATAAGCATTGAGAGATTTCTCTGTTCTGAGGCCCATATGTGAGATAGCATGGGTGCAAGTGTTTGCTTTCGTTCCCTTCTTTTTCATTCTGGAGACTATCCCTGCTCAAATGTTCCTTTACTTAAATTTTTGCTGATGGCATGTTCCCCTCTCCTGAAAATTGCTTTTCCCCAATCTTTTTCTCCAAATAATAAAATGGAGAGGATCAGCATTTTGGCATAACCCAAGAAAGGAAGAGTACTTTCAAGCCTTGGGAAACCTAGTTTTGGGGACAGGGCCTCTAAAATTACTTTCTCTATTCCAAGCTTCTGCATTCAGTCATTCAACAAATATGAAAAAAACCGAGGCCAGATGCCTGTAATCCTAGCACTTTGGGAGGCCAAGGCGGGTGGAACACTTGAGGTCAGGGGTTCGAGACTAGGCTGGCCAATGTGGTGAAACCCCATGTCTACTAAAAATACAAAAATTAGCTGGGCATGGTGGCACGTGCCTGTAGTCCCAGCTACTTGGGAGGCTGAGGCAGGAAAGAAAAACCAGTATGTAACAGACACGATGGCAGTCACTAGTGACGTATCTATGAACAAAATGGAGTCCCTGATCTTGAAAGGTTAGTCTACTAGAAAAGACATAGACATTAGAAGCAAATGATGAAAAATGAGTTTCAGTTCAGAGCAATCAAGATAGTCAAGCATACATAAATACATATACACAAATATACAAGCACATAGAAAATTTCTAGGAGTCACAAGATCTATAAATAGTGGTTAAATGGGATAGGGGAGAATAAGGACTTTTTTAGTTTTCATTTTATACTGTTGTACTATCTGACTTTTTTACGTAACCATATAGATTTCAGTTATAATTCTTCCTAATTAAGACCTCCAGTTTGGCAAGGTACAGTGGTTCACACCTGTAATCTCAGCACTTTAGAAGGCTGAGCTTGAGCCCAGGAGTTCAAGACTAGCCTAGGCAATTTAGTGAGACCCCATCTCTACCAAAAGAAAAAAAGAAAAAAGGAAAAGAAAAGAAAAAGAACATTAGGCACGCTTGTAGTCCCAGCTACTTGGGAGGCTAAGTTCATGGGAGAATCGCTTGAGCCCAGGAGGTTGAGGTTGCAGTGAGCTGTGTTTGTGCCACTGCATTCCAGCTTGGGTGACAGAACAAGACCCCGTCTCCAAAAAAAAAAAAAAAAAAAGACTTCCAGTTAAAAATAAAAAAATTTAACAGTTGTGTTTTATTATTGTTTCTTCGTAAACCACTAAATAACAGTCGCTTTTTTTTAGTAGGTATACATACCTAAAAAGTAGGCTAGGTAAAGATAACAGCAGACAACAGAGGTCAAATGGCAACAAAACTTTACAAGTTGTAATGCAAAAGCCGATTCCCTTGGTAGAATTTTGGGAATGTTCAGGTACATCTGAAGGTAGAGGGGCTGGTGGGGCTAAAACAGGAGAATCAGTTACAAGCCTTTAAGAGTTGCAACTTGAAGCAGACTGGAGGTTTCCCTGCTGCAGAGGTTGACCAGAGGACTATATTTGAGAACACTGCACACAGCTGAGGGTGAAGATTAAGTAAAAGTCTGTACATAAAATAGATTTCCCCCAACTCTCCCCATAGGAAGCTTTTCAGACACTAGGAATCAACCCTGTACCTACACCCCACACCCCATCCAGTCAGGAAATGAGGAGGATTTTTCTTTTAGGAAAATGGCAAGTATGAGATGAAAAACCTGTAGATTCTGTTCAGTGGGAATTCCTTAACTCTACGTAGAGTCTGACCAAGCCCCTTATTTATGTACATACAGATTCTCCAATTAGCGTTTTTTCTGAGACAGAATCTCGCTTTGTCGCCCAGGCTGGAGTGCAGTGGCGCAATCGTGGCTCACTGCAACCTACAACTCCAGGGTTCAAGTGATTCTCTTGCTTCAGCAACTCAAGTAGCTGGGACTACAGGCATGTGCCACCATGCCCGGCTAATTTTTGTATTTTTAGTAGGGATGGGGTTTCACCATGGTGGCCAGGCTGGTCTCAAACTTCTGACCTCAACTGATCAACCTGCCTCGGCCTCCCCAAGTGGTGGGATTACAGGTGTAAGCCACAATGCCTGGCCTCTTCAATTGGCTTTTTAGTGTTTTCTCTTAAAAATGGGCAGACAGACAAAGGTCACCTCACATTTAAGGAAAGGTCCCGACATAACAGTTACATCAAACAAACTAGCAGGTAGAGAGGAATTTAAAGGAAATAAGAGACAGCATGGGAAAGAGAAAAAAAAAAAAATTAAAAGGAAACAATGATATCCTCACATAGATTTTAAAAAATTGGCCAGGTTGGGTGGCTCATTCCTGTAATCCCGGCACTTTGGGAGGCCGAGGCAGGGAGATCACTAGAGGTCAGCAGTTTGAGACCAGCCTGGCCAATATGGTGAAACTCTGTCTCTACTTAAAAAAAAATACAAAAATTAGCCAGACGTGGAGGCACACCCTTGTAATCCCAGCTACTCAGGAGGCTGAGGCAGAAGAATCACTTGAACCCAGGAGGCAGAGGTTGCAGTCAGCTGAGATCGCACCATTTCACTCCACCCTGGTGACAGAGCAAGACTCCATCTCAAAAAAGAAAAAAAAAATTGCATTTGTGAAACCTAAAAAGAGTGCTATGAAAAACAAACAGGCAAACAAAAAGTTCATAAATTAAAAATATAACAACAGAAATTTCTTAATCCACAAGATAAAACAGAGAAAACCTTAGAAAAAGCAAAATTTTAAAAAATGGGAAGGGAAAAATCAAGAAACGTGTAAGACTTAATCCAAGAAGTCTAACACCTGAATAACAAGAGTATTTTTTAAAAATATGGAATAGAGAAAATATAGTAATAGAAAATAGGAAATAAGTAATACAAGTCAACTTCTCCAAAGTGAAGGTACCAGTGGCCAGCTTTAAAGAGCTGTCCAGTGTCTGGATTCATATGAGAAGATATATCACTGTGAAATTTCACGTTACTGTGAATAAAATAATGATCCTTCAAAGTTTCTAATGGACCAAAAAAATAAAAAAAAAAAAAAAAAAAAAAAAAAAAAAAAAAAAAGGGAAAAAAAGTCATATAATACAAAGAATTGGGAATCAGAACAGAGTGGCTATTTTGGCAGGAATATTTAGATGTTAGCAGAGAATGAATGAGATACCAAAAATGTTATACTCGATCAAACCATCAAATAAATTTAAGTGTATGACACAGACATTTTCAAATATGTCCAAAAAGTTTTCTCCTATGGATCTTTACTTAGGCTATGCAAGGATATGCTTCAGAAAAATGAAAGAGTGCACCAAAAAAGAAGACATGAGATCCAGCAAACAGAAGATGGATACAGGAGAGATGTAAAGGAAATTATCAGGATGATGGGAAAGGGAAATACCAAACATCAGCAATGCAACAGGCCTGGAGAACAAGAATCCAGAGTGGACTAGCGTCCAGAGGGAAGAATCCATGGCACAAACTAGCAGGTTACTGGTATGTTTCAGTATAGCTAGGAGATTTATTCTTCTGTCAGAGCATTTGAGAATACACTGAAAGCATGCAATCAAACAAACAAAAAGACAGTCTTTTTTTTTTTTTTTTTTTTTGACGGAGTTTCACTCATGTTACCCAGGCTGGAGTGCAATGGAGCGATCTCAGCTCACCGCAACCTCCGCCTCCTGGGTTGAGGCAATTCTCCTGCCTCAGCCTCCTGAGTAGCTGGGATTACAGGCACGCGCCACCATGCCCAGCTAATGTTTTTTCGTATTTTTAGTAGAGACGGGGTTTCACCATGTTGGCCAGGATGGTCTCGATCTCTTGACCTCGTGATCCACCCGCCTCGGCCTCCCAAAGTGCTGGGATTACAGGCTTGAGCCACCGTGCCCGGCCAAAAAGAAGTCTTTAACATCACAAGTGAAAAAAATGGGCAACAAAGGAAATATAACCATTATGCATTAGGCTCAGCTATGAATACTATTTATGCAGTCATAATAATGTAAATATTAAAAGTGGATTGACCCAAACACTGTTATATAAACATACAAGGACATGGGTAGAGTGTGTGGAGTAGCAATATAGGGGGAGGAGTCATGAGAGCAAAGCGGTCCTTATATTCCATATTCAAAAATCAATAAAACCAAAAAACTAAAAAGCAGCAAGATATAGATACATATATTATTTTAAAACATGGATGTCAACATTAGAAGAAACAGATAAAGTTGAAAGTGATTATCTCTGAGGAGGGGTGGACTTTGAAATTCTGAGTTTTAAAAACTATGTATCACCTTGATAAAAAATAAAAAGAAATCCAGAATAAAAATAATTTAATTTTTTATATGAAGATCAATACCGATTAATGAAAACAACTGATATAGAGGGTAAATCGGCTATTTTTCTTTCTCTCCTACTAATGGTAATTTACTCTGTTCTCTTATTCCTTTCTCTTATTTACCTGGGCTTTTTGGTGGGGGGTGCGCCATCACTGAAGAATCCAAAAATCTCGTCTATATCAGAGGCCTGGCTCCCTGTAGAAGCCATCCAGTTTCTAAAATAGATTAAACACCATGGACCACAATTAGATCTGTAAAGTATACCATTCAAAATAGCACATACATTAAACAATTTTAAAATGCTGTATACCCTTAAAGGTGTTTTGGAGGTGCCCCTACTTCGCAGAAATTTGTTAATTAATGAACAGTCCAAACAAGGAATTAAATTAGTCTAAAAGAAGTAACCTAGAAGTTACAGGACTTTGGTGCCCCATACGACTATCTTGCTTCTGTTTTTGAAGGCCTGCCCCCAAGTTCCCACCAAACAGTGTCAACTCAATTACTGGCCATCACTTTGCAGAACTTAAGAAATACCAGTTATTCTCCCATAAGATGAGTTTGCAGAAGGCTCAGGGGATAAAAACTACCCACAGATAAGTGTGTTAATAGTCCCCAATTATCCACTTACTCTCAGCTGAAGAAATTGAGTTAAGAACAGAACAATCAATACTAATTTGGTGAATAACAGACATTCCCTGTTGCTGGACAATGGTGACCTAACAGCCAGTGGGGCATGTCTCTCCTAACATGAAGTGGACTTTAAATGAAGCCACTGTGATAACTGGTAAAGCTATGATCTAGCAAAGATGTATGAAAAATGGTCAATTACGTTCGGGTGCTGGAATAACTGGCAAAAGTAAATAATAACCATGGATTAGAATGAATACTATAAAGTTTTAATTGCTCAAAGCTTTAGCAAACTTGCTAAATCTAAAAACTGAATTTAAAAATAGCAATAATATTTTAAGCACACACACAATACAGAAGACAAGACATACTACCACCATCTGGGGTGTTTTAGTACATTCCATTGCCAACATACAGAACTGAATTATTAATAATTATTGGAAGTTTACTGTCTTATTAGAAAGCCCTTTTCTTTTTTTTTTTTTTTTTTTTTACCAGGTCTTGCTCTGTTGTCCACGCTCAAGTACAATGGCACCTTCTTGGCTCACTGCAGCCTCGGCCTCCCAGGCTCAAGCGAATAACCTACCTCAGCCTTTCCAGTGCCTGGGACTACAGGCATGCACTACCAAATCTGGTGAAATTTTGTATTTTTTGTAGAGAGGGGCTTTTGTCATGTTGCCCAGCTGGTCTCGAACTCCTGAGCTCAAGTAATCCTCCAGCCTTGGCCTCCCAAAATGTTGGGATTACAGGCCTAAGCCACTGTACCCGGCCCCAAAAAAGCCTTTTCCTTTATTAAAACATTAAGTTATTTTTTGTGGTAAACAGAAGGCTCACTTCCTCATGCGTCCATCACACACAGTGGAATTCTTCTTTAATATCATAATCATAAGGAAAATAGAAATAATAAAATCACAGTAGTGAGTTAGGAAGTAAATCATCTTTCTAGTCAAATCTTTGATTCTGTTGGTGAGAAAGTTGGGGCTCAGAAGATTGATGAGTCACTTATCTCAGTAAATCTTGCCTTAATTCAATCATGTGGGATTTTTTTTTGAGACAGAGTTTCACTCTTGCTGCCCAGGCTCAAGTGCAACAGTGCGATCTCAGCTCACCACAACCTCCGCCTCCTGGGTTTAAGTGATTCTCCTGCCTCGGCCTCCCGAGTAGCTGGGATTACAGGAACGTGCCATCATGCCCGGCTAATTTGTATCTTTAGTAGAGATGGGGTTTCTCCATATTGGTCAGGCTGGTCTCAAACTCTTGACCTCAGGTGATCTGCCCATCTTGGCCTCCCAAAGTGCTGGAATTACAGGCGTGAGCCACCGTGCCCGGCTGGGATGTTTGTTAAAAGTACATATATTCTTGAAAATAAAGTCAATTAATTAAAAAAAAAGTTTGTTTCCAGGCTCTACTCCAAAACTACAGAATGAGAATCTTCAGAATCTTCCTTCAAATAGGAAACACCTAAATAAAATGCAAACTTAATTTTTCTACAATGCAACAATTTTGTTAAATGTAGGATGAACATGAGGTATACCATTAAGCCATCTTCCCTTAAGCGAATAACTTATTACAATCTAGCAACTTCCCAGTTTGCTTATACCAATAGCCAGGTTTTAACTGTCCTTAAAATATTTTTATAACGTTTTCATTTATGTGAAGTCATTTCCTATTCTAAAGTCAATGCTCTAGATTGGTGAACTACTGATAGAATGTGCTTACTTCTGCCACACGCAGGACAACCCATCAGTTTGGGGGCATATATATTTTTAAGTACACAGGAAAAAACTGAGGTGCATAAATTCTTTTCTTAAACATGGTTCTATAAATCCATCATCTAAACAGATTACACCCAATGAAAAACACTGTATTGAAAGAGATGAAAATAAAATGTAGAGGGAAATTAACGCTTATTAAGTTTTGAAGATAGACATCTTCAGAATTCAATGTTCAATTCATCTACTAAACCAGTTTACAAACTCTTACTACATGCAATGGGCTATTTATAAATATTAACTCATTAATCTGCATAACCTTATGAGGCACTATTACCTTATTTTACAGATGAGAAAACCGAGGCACAGAAAGATCGGCTACTTGGTAGTACTAGTATTCAAACCATGGCAACTCTGCCTCCCAAGTCCAAGTTCTCTTTTTTTTTTTTTTTTTTTTTTTTTACGGAGTTTTTTTTTTTTTTTTTTTTTGAGACGGAGTTTCACTCTTGTTACCCAGGCTGGAGTGCAATGGCGCTATCTCGGCTCACCGCAACCTCCGCCTCCTGGGTTCAGGCAATTCTCCTGCCTCAGCCTCCTGAGTAGCTGGGATTACAGGCTCATGCCACCATGCCCAGCTAATTTTTTGTATTTTTAGTAGAGACGGGGTTTCACCATGTTGACCAGGATGGTCTCGATCTCTTGACCTCGTGATCCACCTGCCTCGGCCTCCCAAAGTGCTGGGATTACAGGCGTGAGCCACCGCGCCCGGCCCCAAGTCCAAGTTCTTAACTACACTATTGCTAAACAGGAAGTGCTTATTGGAACATTTCAGATTTTAGATTTTTAGATTATAGATGCTCAACTGGTTAAGTATACTGCAAATATTCCAAAAAAACCATAAATCCAAAATACTTCTGGTCACAAACATTTGAGATAAGGAATAACAAACTTGTATTAACTTTTCAGCCTTTAAAAAAAAAAAAAAAGTCCAAAACTATCAACAAAGGAAGTGCCTGCATTCTAGAAAGCAGATTTACCTGAAATAGTCTGAAGTAATCCTTAATAGTTGCTTCTTAACTAGGCACTCCACTGATGTAATCTTGGCAGTCAACTGTATTCAGAAGCTGGGAAAACTCTCTCCAGTGACAAGCACTATTTGTTACGCACTTCACCATCACCTAGCCACCAGAGCCTAGATTTGTCGTATCATTTTCTCCTGGAAATTATGTAAGATCATTTTTGCTGATTTCTATTTCTGCCAGATAGTCAATTCATGATGTCTAGACCTGAATATTAAGCTTTCTGACTTACTTCTTTAACAATCAACTTTTCTGAAGGCCCATTCCATCTCCTATGACTTTAAAAAATTAAATATAGCCAATTGCTTCTGACTGACAATGTTTAGGGTCTTCTTATTCAGATACTGAATGAGAAGCACTTGAATATGCCTACATTATATCCAATCATATACTTATCCTGTTTTCTAACAGAGAAACATCTTTACTTTAGCCTAAAGGCTGCCTCATGTGATACAATCTCACATGTATACACCAGGGGCACATAAGCATAAACTGTATTTTGTTCCTTCTAGAGTACTGTTTTCAGAAAAAAAAAAAATCAATTTAACCCTAAGCAATATGCAATTATTGCTAAAGAGCTTCACAGTTAACTTTTTTTTTTCCCGTTTATTTATTTTATTGCATTTTAGGTTTTGGGGTACATGTGAAGAACATGCAAAATTGTTGCATAGGTACACACGTGACAGTGTGATTTGCTGCCTTCCTCCCCATCACCTACATCGGGCATTTCTCCCCTTGCTATCTCTCCCCAGCTCCCCACCCCCCACCGTCCCTCCCCTATTTCCCCCCAACTGACCCCAGTGTGTAGTGCTCCCCTCCCTGTGTCCA